CCCCAAAACCCCAAAACCCCAAAACCCCAAATGAGGATTCAAGGTTGAAGTAATATTATATATTTTTATAATAAATATGGATAAGTTCTGGAAATGGACAAATATGAAGGTTAATACAATTGACATGTTCTCCAAACCTGTGAGCTTGACTTATCAGAAAAAAGAGAAGTTCACAACCTTCTTTGGTGGCATGATCACTGGTATTTTAATCTTAGGGTTAATAGCTTATGGAATTCAGTTATCGATACAGATGTTTACAAGATCCGCTACAAGTATGTCTAAGAATGTCATTAAGAGAGACCAGATCTTGGTAACTGATTATTATAATTTGGGAGATGAAGAACTCAAATTTGCAGTTTATGTGGTAGATGATAATAAAGTCAGTGGATTTACAGATCCCACTTATTTCAATTTGTCTGCTTATCAATTTGATTACTCTGGTGACTTCGAATCAAGCTCTCTCGCTTTTAACATCACTGAAGTTGGAATGGATATTTGTGGAGAAAATTTCCCTAGAGCATCTGAAGAAATAAATGAATTCCGAAAATATATCTCAAATTTTACGTACTGCCCGGTGAGCTCTAACTTCTCAGTTGGAGGTAGTCTTTTATTGAACCAGGTAAAACTAGTCAAAGTCCAAATCAAGAAGTGCATAAATGGGACTTCTATAATATGAAAACCTGATAGTGAAATTGAAGCCAAAGCAAGGAATATTGATGTCACTATCATTGTGAGCTCGAAGTACCTTGACTTTGATGATTATGACACTCCAATCAAGCAAATTATTGATGATAAGTTCTATTTTCGGATGTCTTCAGGTATGAGAAAGTATGGAAGATTAGATGTTAAAAAGAGTACTGTATCTCTTTCGGATAGCATATTCCCATTTAGTCCAGAAAAGCAACAATCATTCTTGTCAATTGATAATTATCGACAAGATGGTGAGATGAGATATGATGGAGATCCACTCCTGATGGATTTTGAATTCAGACAAGACCCCACTGTTGACTCGTACGAGCGTAGAGTATATTCTATTCTAGATCTTTTTGGTCAGCTCGGAGGATTCTTTGAAGTACTCGCTATATTCGGTGGAGCCCTTGTTCATTATTTCGCATCACAAATGTACAGTTACTCGTTGTTTACTCATTTGTATTGACTTAATGAGACGGATGCACACATTACAAGCGATGAATCTCAGATTGCTCCAAAGCCATCAAAGAAGGAAAAAGACACTATTACCACAAAATTAAACGAGAAAGAGAAAACTCTCTTGCAAACAATTGAGTCCCGAATCAACTCAAAAAGAAGATTCCATTTTACAGCCAAAGACTACTTCAAGACACTGGTACCATGCTTCAAAACTAGATCTCGTTCTGAGTTCACAATTCTCAGCGACAAACTTTCAGATGAGTGAGATCTGACATCTGTTGTGTGTTCGATACGGCATCTCAAAACACTGATGAAACTGACTTTGAGCGAACACCAAGCACTGATGATGGACTTTAACTGCAGAAGTAACTATTTGCATAAAGAGACCAAAGATGGCTGATTTACAAAGCCGAATGATTTTCCACCACCTACACAAGAACCCTCTCTAAAGATCAAAACCAAATCTACAATTCTAATGGAGAAGCTGAAGAACTTAGACTACGATACACTTGAGAGAGATGCGAGCATATTTCTTGGGATCCCATTTGAGTATCAAACCTCAGAAGAGGGAGTCCAAAGCTCAAGTTTATTTGACAGAGATAAAACTCATAAGAAGAATAAAGAGGAGTCAATTGTAGGATTTTTTGAAGAAGAAAAAGACAATTCAAACCTCCATAAAGAATCAGAGGTATACAAAGATAGATAGAGACATCTAAATACCATTCAATATGTCCGATACATCTTTTAGCCTGGGTTGCAAATTCAACATTTTTTTTGAATCTAACGTTCTTTTCAATTTCAATTTTTTGAAATTATATTGGGGTTTTGGGGTTTTGGGGTTTTGGGG